CACATGTACACAGACTCCGCTCGGATTTCAGACAGTGCCCCTAGACCTTGACTCTGGTAACAATGAATATAACATATCCAGTATGGGGCTCTACTATGCATTCTTAACAGTAGCAGCAAGGAAGTGTCCGAGATTGCTGTTTGACCTTGACCTCGAGCGCTTTTTCTACAATGGTAAAGAGGATACGGTTGAAACAAAAGTGGAGGGCATATCTGTGACTTTGGCGAAGTCTCCAGCGTGAAGGTATGAGATCCCTTCCGAATGGACATCACTCATTGAAAATATGTCATTTTTCTACCATCAGCGATTGGTGGGTAATCCGATTCTTAATAATGGTCTACTGTATTATTTGTGGAGTATGATGAGGTGGATGAAGTATGATTCTTAAATATTCTTTCCATGAACAAACAAGAGCAACATATCTATGCCTATGATCAGTCCTTTGTCCTCACCGGCATATCGTATCAACATTCTAAGAGTCGTTCCCTTCGTTACCTTCAGGAGGTGAGGGTTCAAGTCTCTCATTGTAAGTTGAAGTTACACAGCGCCTGCTGTGGGGCCCTTGAGTTGTATAAAATGGGGAGTTAACGTGTGCGCGAACAAGTGTAAGAATGTGAGCAGCTGTCCCGAGCTTCCTACTAAGACGGTACAATGCCAACCTTACCCGGCATGCTCCATCAAAATTTGATGATCAAATGCGTTGCGGACAAGGTGAACAGGGTTTGCTCCACACATGAGATCGACATCTTTTCAGGACTGTCTTGCTGGGGTTTATTGCCAAGACGAACATCCCACAGACGAAATCTGTTTGTTTAAGGACCAGTAGAATGCTGAGCTCAAACTAGCGGGAACCTTTTTCTTCGATATCATTCCGGATGCGGACCATTACCGCATTAACCCTCGGAAACTATATCTGTATCTAGGTGTCATCTGATTCAAACGATGACCATTTTTCCCGATGTCGGCGTTCATTACATTCATATGGCGATTCTGGACAATCGCTGGCTTTCGTGGAACCTATCTTGTCATAATTTATTCAGATCCACCCGTGCCCGTGTGGGTCTCTGGTGGTTCATTCTCCTTGAAGCTCAGTGATCGCTCTCAACTTTTTCTGGTTTTGTGGTGCCTGGGCCTATATCAAGGTTCACAGGTAGGCCGTGGGGTATATAATTACCATTGACCTCCCTCAGAGTGAACATAGTCGAGCCCATCCCGACGTCGGACTCCAATGACATGTCTGAGTCAGCCTCAGGTGAACATCCATCAAGTACACCTCTCCACTTACTCGATTTCAGGTGGTGGTCAATATGAGAAGCCTATCGGTGGTCCATGCTATGTCAAAGGCAAGCTTCTAACGGGATGCCAATGCAAGACCGACGACGTTGTCTTTTACGCGGTAAGCTCGATGGCGCCTCTCCGCGGATTCATTAATCACAACGGACCTATGTTCCGGAGACGGTCTTTATTAGGACATATTCGGGGAGGTCAACGGTGCGGTGTGCGCAAACAAGTGCCAAAATGTGAGCAGCTGTCCCGAGCTTCCTACTAAGACGGTAAAATGCCAACCTTACCCGGCATGCTTCATCCAATGCGTTTCGGACAAGGTGAACAGAGTTTGCTCCACACATGAGATCGACTTCTTTTCAGGACTGTCCTGCTGGGGGTTATTGTCAAGACGACAATCCCACAGGCAGAATCTGTATGTTTAAGAACCAGTAGAATGCTGAGCTCAAACTAGCGGGAACCTTTTTCTTCGATATCTTTCTGGATGCGGACCATTACCGGATTAACCCTCGGAAACTATATGTGTATTTAGGTGTCATCTGATTCAAACGATGACCACTTCTCTCGGTGTCGGCGTTCATTACATTCATATGGCGATTCTGGGCAATCGCTGGCTTTCGTGAAGCCTATCTTTTCATAGTCCATCCAGATTCACCCGTGCCCGTGCCGCACGGGCCGTGCGGGTCTCTGGTGGTTCATTCTCCTTGAATAAACTCATATTCTGTTGCGCTTCAGTCCAGAGTCAATTCTAGTTGGATGAGGGATAGTCATTCCGTGACGGAATTTCTGTCTCCCAATGGAAGGCTCCCGTGAAAAATTCTAAATTTCCCTGGGGTGGCTCCCCTTGTACCAAGAATGTTGTCGA